ATAACTATAAATTATAGCACACACTCGTACACACATTTGTATCTTACATGCATGTCTGATCTCACTGCTCATCCACGTTCATATAAGTTGTATTTTTGGTTAATGTCCTTTACATGACTGTATGTACATATGTATGTATGTATATTGGCAGCCAACTGTCGCTTGGTTGATGACATTTGCTGATTGCACAACTAGGTCTATAAGTCGATTTGCAATAGAGCGCAGAGAATTGCTAATATGCCATACTTGTGTCTGTCTATTTAGTATAAACAGAAATTAATATTGTTTAAAAAATTATGGAAAAAATTTCTTTCATAATATTTTTATTGAAAAAATTATCATTTCAACGCCTTACACTCAATTAAGTTACCGCTAAATGCATTAAAAATAAAAGACTTACAATTAAAAATTGTCTTTAAGTGACAATAAAAGCCCTAACGGCTTTTCATGCTCTATTAAAAGCAGCAGTGAGAGAGAAAGTCAGCTGCTTGTGATGTGCTCTTGACTGCATAAGTGGTCTATAAAATGGCGTAAATGAAGAGCACATCAGCACATTCTATGTGCTTATTACCTGGCGATGTGTGCTCACGCTTGTGCAGTCATACATCGTATGTACACAAACATATTTATTACTTATGTATATACCATATAGTTTGCAATTGTGCATCAAGGACAATGGTGTACGGGTGGCTGGTTGCTTGCCACAAGGCAATCTTCACGTATGAGTACATACATACATATGCAATGCTCAAATGAATATATGGAGAAGATATCCCTAAAGACAATTGAACTAAAATAAGAAGTATTCTCAAAATTTTTTTACATAGAATTCATTTATTATGTATTAGATAGCCTTGTCCTGATGGAACACAATTCCACGGATGATTGTCTCCTTCAGAGGGTCCAACAATTGTTGACAGCACAGTTCCGAGCTTTGTCGTACAGGAGCAACTCACAGTAGATAATTCCCTGCAAATCCCACCAAACACACAGCAAAATCTTTCAGGCCTCAGACCTGGCTTGGCCACCGTTTCCACCGGCTCACCGCGTTTCGACCACGACTGTTTCCACTAGATGTGTTCGTAAGCGATCCACTTTTCAGCGTTAGTCTCCAACCTCTTCAAAAATTGGACAATCAGCAATCAGCAGCGATTCAGCAGCGATTCGAAGATGGAAACTCTGTCCATGAGTGTTTTTTGCATTACGGTTCGTTCGTTGCATCGATCTTCTTTTCGTATGCAGCCATATCCATATGGTTTCAAACAGATTTTTGTGCAATCTTTAGCTCTTGGGCAATCAAAACGAAAGAAAAATCCGAGTAATAGATCAGAACCAATCCGATCTATGGCAAAAATTCATTTTTTGGTTCGATTTATTTCAAATTTGGCACATAAATGACTCTTTGCCTAGGTTAGCAGGTTAGCTACTCTTCTCTACGTGAAGTGGACCAGGGACTTAATAATTCAAAACTATCGTATTTATGGTTCCATTTACTAAAAATTCAGAACAGAATACCATTTTTCTTTCCGGAAAGTGGACCAGGGACTGAACTATTCGGGCAAAATCGTATTTATTGTTCCATTTAGTTGAAAATCGGTACATAGCTGGCGCTTCACTTAGATTAGTGGGAAGACTATTTTTCTCTTCAAGGAGGAGACCAGAAAATAAAGTATTAATGGTTCTCTTCACTTGAAATTCTTTTACTTTGTAGGGAAAGTGGTTCGATCTATCAGAAAAAATTAACATTTTCACTATTAGGTTTGGTTAAATATTTCTCTCAACTGGAACAGCAAAAAGGAACAAATTTCGATTTGCTCGAAACAGAAATAAAAATTTCTTTACAGGAAAGCGATCACCGACAGATTGACAAAAATTAGTACAACTCGGATATTAGATTAGATCGCGCTCAGGTATGTTCGCTTCGCATTTTTATTAGTTTACTGCTGTGACTTACAAGCTATTCTTATACCGTAAATTTGAGTATGAATATGCATAGATCGGAATAGTGCGTTCGGCTTATTTCGGGGAGGCATTTCGTATTGACATTTTCGTGAAAGGCTTTGAGCAGCTGAGCAGCGACCCACACACACAAAAGAAAAAAAAATAGTTGGATCAATAATTTAATAAAAACTAGATATTTTGGCTTGGTAGATGCTTAATCAGGGATTTTCTTTTAATTATAAATTCGATAAAATACAAAAAGCAACAGCAACGTGTGGCCGTATCTGCTAGTTCGATTGTATTTATATACGTGAGTTTCCACCAGAAATGTTACACATTTTCTTATACCAATTTCGAAAGATATTTTTCAAAATTTATAGATCTGCAAGTTTGCTTTTCTCAATGCATGTACATATGTACGCACATACAAATACTATAAAAACATTTCCATATCTCAAAATAGCTGCTAAATCTGTTTATTTTGTCCGCAACAATCATCACTTTGGAAAGTCGCTACATGCCACACATTCCAACACCAATAAATTACTCAAATTGTAAACAAAAGTTTATATGTACAAAATGAATACAGCGCGGCATCTCGTGCAGAAAAAGCTTAAAATCGAGTAGGCACTGCCTTACTGCCACAGTATCTACGCGCTTGCAACGCAATGAATTGCCACAAATGTTGCACATAAATCATTCAACCGAAGTGGCATCGAGCGTTCATTTACCTTCACTTATTTCTGATTAGTGCGTGTGCGTGTGCGTGTGTGTTTGAGTGTTTGTTTTTAATTATTTAATTTTATTTTTAGTTCCATATGTTCGGTGGTGTATAAACACACACACACACACACACACGCACACACTTCGCTAAATATTTATGTTAAATATAGTGTGCTGTCCGCGGCACATTTATGTAGTCGGCCGAGCGGATGTGAATGTTGTGCGTTGCAATCGGTGCATTACTCATTGACCAGAAACTTTATAACGCAACAGCTACACATATACATGCATACATGTAATTAGCTATAAGCAATTATATAGGCATATTCACTTAACAAAATTTTGAAATTATTGCAAAAAAGTTAGGTTAGGTTAGGTCCATCTATCGCATCCCTTACACGTGGAGATCCATGACTTTGACATCTTCTAACTGCGATATGCCATCCAGCAAAATCAAAAGAGTCGCATAAGAGATCACCCGATCGTTTCCTCCTCATCATCATTCCCACAGCTTCTGTAGCATCTACTTTAGAGAGCCCCAAGCCTCCCTGAATGGCATTCGATGGTACATTAAGAACTCCAATTATTTTGACCATGTCGCCTCTTTTTAAGGAGTGTTCTATATTTATTACCTTCTGTGCAGATTTACCGGCACTTGCAGCTGGTTGTAGTTTCATTCCACCTTTATGCATGCGAAAATTCCGTAAGAAACAGCTGGCAAGAGGTATATCAATGAGTTCTTTAACGAGCAGAATCTGCTTGGTCGTACCTTGTCTGGCAAGTTCATCTACCTTATAGCAGCGCTTGGTGTCTCTATAAGCAGGGACAAAAGTTAGAGACAGTCTCTTCGGTTTGGTCATCTCTTGTGGAGATCTGTGACAATCCAACATAATTTAGGAATTCAGCGTAAGCAAACCCAGTGATTTAATTTCCAACAAACTGTCGCTTAAAATGAATATATTCTTATCTTTAAAGTTGGCTTCGATTCGCTTTGCAGCCTCTATCAAATGCCCTACTTGAAAAAAAAATAAATTTCGTGTGGTGTACTCTTTATGGCCCTAAAACTCACTAGGGGATGCAAGTGAAATTTAGAAAATTATAACTAATAGGTCTACTAGATGGCGAAGAACTTAGAGTTAGATGAACCTTAAGTGTTTTTGTTGGAAGAAGCCAGCCAACGTCCAATGGCGGTGCTGAAACGGAGACCGGTACTGATATCACTTTCACCTTAAGAGTACTAAGTGGGGAGAGCTCACAACCCAAGCCTATGAAGTGGTGTATTTTATTTATATTTACAGTCTGTATTAAGGTTTTGACCTTACAAACTGTCATCTCTTAACGTAAAGGTTGGAGTAACACCCAGAGCTTTTGACACGCGGTCGCTATAGGCAGAGAGAAATGGATTCGAAATGTTGTCATCCCATGGCAAGGAATGACAATCCCTCAGAAAGTATTTCTAACATTTATTTTTCTCATAAAACTCTATCAATCGTTCGGAGACGGCTTTCCATTTGTTGGAAAAAAAACCAGGGCTTATAAATTACCAATTATAGATAGATATATCCAGCCAGAGAGTAGCGACTGCATTAGCTAAGTGGATAACAGTGCAAACTACCTTGTGGGGTTATGTATTCAGCTTGGCGGGAAATGTCAATCCCTTTGTGTGTTCTTCTGGCATAAAATAAGAATGAGCTGTAGGTCTCTCTAACTCACATTACAAATTGGAGGAGGAGCTCGGTCGAAAATTGCTTCAAGTATTATAAAGTATCCTAATTATAATTCAAAGGTCGGTAAGTAAAAGCAATATCAAGCTCAGACCTTCTGGGATCGATTCATTAGATGGAGTACCTCGATTTATTTAACACCTTTGATATCGACTCTAAAGTTCATTATTCTGCAGTTAAGACTCTCGTAGACCGGTTTTGGTAAGCAGAGTACAAATTTTGTGTTCGTCTTGAAGCATCTCAATGTTAGAGTCACTTAGATCCCGGATAAGGAGCACATCTAACGTTGCTCCATTAAAGTGAGGGTTCTCTCTATCGCAAAGTTATTTTGCCATGGTTGTTATTTTTTTCACTTCCTGCTCTGCGTTCCCTATGGATGTAAGAAGAAGTATCTTAAATAAATTCTTGGACAATGAGATTGAAAACCGAGGATCTCTTCCACCTTGCGCAGTGAAAACGGTGTATGTGGTTTTGGAACTGCTCGTCGTTACTTTTTTGATTTGAAGGAAAGTTTTTCCTGATTTGTATGTAAAATTAACAACTAGATTTTTGTATCTTCTTACATTTTTCTAGAATTTTTATTTTCTTTATAATTATGTTCCTTCTTTCCAGACTTTCTTCCAACTCGGATGACAGCTTTGACGATGACTCGGCCGATGAGGTTATCGTGCCACCACACTGCCACATAACAGTACGCTGTACACGTGAAATCGCCGGTTTTAATGGACTTGGCGAAGTGGTGCGACGTCTCGATTTTCGAACTTCATTACGCAATCAGAAACGTTTTCACTACATTTGTGCGCTACTTCGTTTGTTGGTATCCCACAAGGGGATCGTGAACCTGTCGGGTAGTGCGCAGCGTGTGCTGATGCAAATCGTTGAAGATGTGGCGACACATGGTGAGTTGTGAAGAAAAATAATAATAATTCGAATACTGTATATAAAGGGTGTTTTTTTTTTATTTTGATATGTGATTCAATACCTTTCTTCGCATTTGGTCTCTTTGACTGCTGTTACGTGATTTATACTCAATTTGGTTTGTCATTTCATGGAATAACGTTTGTAAATCGTATTATCAAAATTATGGTCGTGGTTCGAGCGACACAACGTACGCTGTGTCCAATATTCAGTGGAAATAATTGACCGCAGAGTCGTTAATTCGAGCTATCATGGATCGATTTCACACCAGGTTTACTCTAGCATGTAATGCGCATCCTAAGAGACGTCGTACAGTGCGCATCGAAGACTACATTGCTGCTGTAGAGCAGAGTGTTGAAGAAGACCCGAATGAGTCCATCCGACCTTTGGTTCTAAGGCTCCTCTTACAAAACCATCAGCCGTTCGGAGGCGACTTAGTATAAAATGTAGGTCCCTCCATATGTTGGAAAAACATTAAGATGCAAAACCAAACAATGAAGGAGGAGCGCAAGGCAGAAAATCTTTTCAGCGGTTACAAAGCGCCAATTGTATATTACATTATCTGGCGTTGTAGGTCTGTGGTGTGGCATCCAAGATCGAGCGATTTAATACCGCTGAACTATCCTTGTAGGGGTTATTTGAAATTTCTCTCCTGTACTAATAAGCCCGAGACGATTAACGTCTTAGAATAGAATATTCGACGTGTAATTGTCAACATATGGCACGTTGACTTCAAAAAGTGGTCGAAAATTATGCCACTCGGCTAAAAATTATCCGAGCTAGCCACGGCGGTCACTTGGTCGAATTTATTTTTGAAACATATTGGCGAACCCTCATCTCTACTATAAAGCACAGTTCTTGGCCACAAAATTATATTAAATGCGTTTAATTTCTTCTTGAAAACCACATGCCTAAAAAGACACCCTTTATTTTTATATATTTCCTGAAAATCTTTTTTGTTTTTTTGTTTTTTCTGAAACTAGTTTTTGTTATTATTTTACAATTTTTATTTGGTGCTAATTTTATTGCATTTTTTTTTTGCTAGTTTCCGACATTTGTAAGCATTTTTTACTAATTTTTCTTTTCTCTTTTTCGCTACCGCTCATTTTAATGGACCATTTGTTGACAACACATGAACATTGGACATCAACTACGTGTTATTACCGTAAAAAAAAACACGTAATTGGTCTACGTCGCCCCGCCAACGTCACAACAACCAAACGGGCCAATGCAATAACGGTTTGTTGCGCTTATCAGTCAATGACAGCCAACAGCATTTGAATGTTTTGCGTGGTTTGGTCATACAACTGCAAGATATCGTATTGCAGGAGAGCCAGAAGTGTTGGGGGAAACCGTTGGGCAGCACCAATCTGTGGCAGGAGCATATCGAGACTATAAAACGCATACAAAATGTTGCTAGTCAAATCGAAATTAAAGAGGTGAGTTGCTGTTGTGTGTAAATATGTACATATGTGTAGGTATGTTTCACGAGATTGCAGTTGTCAGGCGAGAAATGATTTTTAATTGGCACCTAATTCAATTGGAAGGCTTTTTACGGCTTTTAATTTTCCAATTTTTTTTTTAGTTTTTTCATTTACACAAAGTGGAAATTTCACATAGCGGAAGTGTTGTAGGAAATTGGAGATGAATTCAAATATATGTAGTGTATATATACCGGATGACTGTCTCGTACTCCTCGGTCAGCAGGACTGGGCAGAAGGCAAAGCTATCAGTATTAGATTAGATACGAGAAAGCGGTTCACGGAATGGGGAATAAAGAGGGAAAATTGAAAAAAAATGTTAATATATTTTTCAGATCTCTCAATTAATTTACTTATAACCTCATAAAAAATTGTGTAATCTTTATCTTCAAAACACGCTTTTTTGACATCATCATCGGTGATCAATTTTTTAGCCCTCAGCTCATTTTTAATTTTGGGAAACATCACACAGGGCTAGAACCAAGTTTTTGTATGGGTTATTCGAAGCATTGAAGCCCACCTTATCGAGGGCAGTACACCTTTCATTAATATTTTGCGCTCTTGAAGCTTAGAATTTTCCAGTTAAAGAGACTCCTTTATTTTTATTATCAAAGACCTTTGCCATGACCTTCCAAGCTGCCCGTGACACTTTAAATTTCTTGGAAGGTGCTGTGACCTCTTTATGTTTTGTTTCCACTTAGATTCAGTTAAGTCTTGACGTGGTCACCTCGATGCTTCTGCTCAGCCTCGGGTCGTCATCAAGAGATTACCTATTACCTGGTTTTTCTCATTATGGTCGCAACTGATTTGCAACGATTCTAATGAGCCTAATCACCGCCTTACACTCATCTTAGCCTGGTGCGGCTAAATGTTAAGCAGGAACAGAAGCCGGGTTCTTCTCTGATCTCTCCACTATTAGCTTAAACCTCAAAGCGGACGAACTCGATCGTATTGGCATCGCAGTACACTGGCTCAGACATTTCAGTGCCTTGAAATTTTGTCCGAAATATTGGGCCCTAGGGGAACACTTAAGATTGCACTAAACTACTATGAGGTAGTGTGGTTTAGAGAAAGACCAAACCGTTACTGGCATTAGGCAAAAGGGAACTCAGTACACTTGTAGGTGAAATTACTGGACATCTGTTTCTGAGATATCATCTTCAGAAACTATTTAAGATTTAGTCAGCTGAACACAGTGCAGGACGCAGAAGGGAACGAGTGACCGGTATTCAGCTGATTGGAGCTCCAAGCTTTAACCAACTATATTTTTACTTAGTCCAAGTTTTAGACTCATCCTAGCCGATTTCTATTTTATTAGTTAAGCTTTTCGATTTTCCTGAGAGGAAATCCTTTTTCCACTTAGAGGCCGGTGGTAGGGTGCATCCACAACTTCAACGAGTGTAGTTTCGTATTCCACTATTACGGTCACACTATCATGGTTCTAATGGAATGTACCCGCCACATTGACCACAAACATAGGAAGCTTTGAAGAATCCGTACCTAATTTACATGATATTAGGTTATTCCGACCGCTTGAGCCAAGCTTAAAAGTGGTTAGCAGTCGTTGTATCTTCCGGAAGATTATGAACTCGCATATCGATCTAATCAACATATAAAATTATAGAAAATTAACTAAAAAATTATTATTGGAGGCGACTCTCGACAGAAAATGTTAATCCCTCCGGCTTCGACCACAAATTACTTCAGGATTGCAGATTAGATAGTAGAGGTTACATTAGCTGAACCTCGGTTACTGGATCCTTAATTTTTCAGAGGAGCATTTACAGTCACTCGAAAATCTAGGAAGATTTCAGACATGGTACCATTTTAATCCAACTTTTTTGTTTAAAGTTTGAGAACTTTTTCTAATAATTTATCTGTTTATGTTCTTGAATTCCAGCCCGGTCCAGAAATACGTCCAAAATTGCATGACTTACCCGAGGAATGCATACGTGAGATTATTTTACGCATAGCCGATCACAAAGATCTCGAAGTGAGTACGAACTCTTAATAATATTAAAAGAGCTCAATTTAATTTTACAAATTCTCCTCTTTCCTTTTCCCTCTGTAGGCCTCTGCCAACGCTTGGCCGACCATGGCCACACTGGTATCGGAGCAACGCATTTGGCGTGAACTTTGTCGCTTCCATTTCAAACAACATCAAATCAACTTAATACTCGATCTTAATAATATAAAACTAATGAACGAGGTAAAGGACTGGAAAAAAATCTATCATCAATTAAGGCGCACCTACGGTGTCAACGATGACTATCAATTTGCCGAAATATTGAAATTATGTCGCATTTGTTCGTGTTTATTTTGGCCATCGGAAGGTCATCCATGCATAGCCGATGAGATGCCAGACTATAAGCAACGCCTAGAGGATGCAGCGGGTGGTGGTCAACTGGTTGTGGCACAGCCAGTGCCACCGGCACAATTTCTAAAATATTTCTCATTGTAAATAGACACTTAAGTTTACATGCATACATACATACAAACGAAACGAATATAAAGAAGATGAAATGTGTGGTGTGGAGCGAGGCGCGAGGAGTGCGAATGTCATGGTGATTACGTCTTGTTGAGAATGGAAATGATTGTTAAGGAATCGTTAATATTGTGGATGTGTAAAATACAGAGGCAGCTAGAGAACCTGGTGCGCTATGAGTTATGAAGAGATTTACATACAAACATACATACATACATATATAGAGATATATTTATTGATGAAAACGAACTGCTTGGCCTAAAATGAAAAAGAAAGCAAATTAAACAAAAAAAAAAACAACAAATGTGTAAAACTATTTTAAAAAGGTATCTAGCAACAACAATGTAGTATGTACAGTGATAACTTGAAAAAGTATATAAGCATATTCATATTATTTATCAGCAACTTATCGAAAGGTTTATTGGAATCTATTGCGAAATGTGTATATTTTCAAAGAATTTTTCATTTTATTTTATACAAAAAAATTCGAAAAAGATTTTTATTAGTTCGTAAGTGATATTTACTTGGCTGAATTATTTAGATGTTATTAAAATAAAAAAGTACTCATTGCAAACATACATAAATACATGAAAAATAAAAGCATTTTAAACATTAAACTTGCGTTAAGTTTTTTTAAACAGAACACTTTTATTTACAAATTAAACAATTCCATTAAATTTTTATTTTATTATTTTATTTTAACTTTATTAATTATATATAATATATTAATTCGGTCCGTTCTCATAAGATAGCTCCCTCCACCTGCAAGCTGTCGCCGATTACCTATTTCTTGGGAAGGCTTTCCCAACTGCCAACAATAATTAGCGGGCATCAGCAACTGTTTCTGGCAACCACATTGTTTTTGTCTCTGCGAAAATGTCCGGATTTGTGTTGAATAAACAGCATTTGCAAGCATTGTTTATTTTTTTTTATTATTTGTATGAAAAGTAAATCTACGCCAACCGATAAGACAAAAGACAAAGAGCCCCTTGGTGAGACCAGACGGATGTAGTGTACTTTGAGCGGCTAAAATCAAGCGAAACCACTGATGCGAATTACAGTTAATGCATTTGAGCAGTTTATTGCCTGAAAAACTACCAGAAACGACTGAAAGTCATGCAATGGTGATTATACAACATGGCAACGATCGGGCCTACGGAGGTTGTAATGGGCAAAAAATTACTGGAAACGCATAAATGAGAGGTATAATCCTCCCGTCGTATTCTGCAGACTTTGCTCCGTCCAATTACTGGCTTTATGGATGGATGCTAAACCTTTTGTGAGGTCACCGGCTCGGATCTTTTGAAGAAATCATTTTTTGGAAATGGTATACGAAAATGACCAAAGAAATGGAAAAAAGTAACACCTTTTTGAACGCAAAAAACGGACCAAATTAGTTTTTGCGCAAAATATTTTTAATATATTTTTTTAATTGTTTGTTTTTTTTTTTGTTTTCTATTTTATTTTTATTTTATTTTATTTAATTTAATTTTATTTTATTTTATTTTATTTTATTTCAAGTATTTTATTTTATTTTCTATAATCTTATTTTATTTGGTTTTATATTATTTTTATATATTTGTTTTAAAAATTATTTAACTTCTATTTTGTTTTCTTTGTGTATTTATTTAATGATATTTTATTTTTTTCTCAATTGTATCTGAATTGAACACTGGTTCTCTAAAACTCTCAAATTCAAGTCAAGAACTTTAGAAAAAAATGTGATTTAGATAAATTTGACCAAGCAAAAAAGATGAAAGAATTTATGAAATAAATTTCTAAACTACCGCTAATATTGTTGTAAAAGGTAAAAACATCTAATAGAACTAATTATTATAATAAATATTAATAATAAACAATTAAATAAAAAATCCAATCGTTAGTAAAATATATTTTGCCTACAACACAAAATAAAAATTCTTACATACAGATATAGCGACATAGAAAACTCTATCTATACAGACACTTATATACAAACAAACAATTCAGATCTGACTATATTTACAAGACAAGGCAGTTATCAAGAAACAATGCTAAATAATAATAAAAATTTTCCATAAAAGAAATGGTGAAAACTGAAAAAAAAAATGTATTATAAATAAAAATCAAATACGTTTCAAATACTCGTAGCGAAGCATGAAAAAAGGCTGAGTGTTTTCCTTGCAATAAATATTTTTAATATTTCTACTATAAGTAAATTTTAATTTAAGAAAATTTTAAGTGAAACATTAGCAAGTACATTTCTTTAAAATAAACTCAAAACAATTTTTCGTAAGACTTAGACATATTTGAAAAAAGCTCTAAGTAAGTAACTAAACTATTAAAAATCGTTAAAAAAATATTTAAATTACTTACTAACTCAATTAATATTTATGCTCGCAAAATTATTCGATCCAACATAAGCTGACATAAAATAAGCGCCTGAAGGCAGGCAACGCTTTTACGGATTTTCGTTTTTTTCGTTTGCAATTTTATTGAGAAAATATTTATTGAAGACATGTAAATTTTTTAAAATTAATTCAGTTTGAATTTCATTATTAAGCTTTAGTAAAAAAAGTCTTTAATTGAAAAAAAGCACTGAAGTGGGAAAAAATTTAAATTAAATTAGAAATGGGTTTAAAAATTATTTATGGTTATTATTTTTACTAAATGAAAAAAAGAAATCCCATAAAATTTCACTTACCATAGTGGTGGGTCGAATAAAGCAGTATTTTTGAACACGATTTTGTTGAAAAACGGTTAAATATGCAAGTATGTATATACATATATTAAAATAAAAATACAAATATATATTATAAATAACGCAAAAGAATAAGTAAAAAATTAAAAATATATTTAAATGTTTAATGAGTAATTTATTTTGTTGTAAGCCGCAGGGAAAGGGAGAGGACTTCTAATAATATCCTAACAAGTACAGTCCGACCTGCCTTAGAAAGCTTAGGTGTCAGCGCTATATATATATATATATATATATATATATATATATATATATATATATATGAGTTCTTCTGTTGAACTACCACCGTGCTCTGCCGGTGATAGCTTAAAGGCTTAGACCATCTTTCACCTGACTTCCCAGATTTGCTTCGCAAGAAAGTTTCTTATGATTGGAGTCGCGTTAGATTGGAGCCGCACAGCGATTTGCTGGAAACCTTGGCAAGCTTAGTCGAAATGGGATAGGAAAATATTAGGTGTAATGTACGGCAGAGAAGACAGCTCCAAGGTAATAAGAATACTGGCGGATTCAATTTCTGAGCTTCTTATAGGGTATGAAAACTATTAATGCTGAGAAAAGATGACTCATTTTCTATACGCTGTACCGATTTCGGGTCGGGCTCCTCCTCGTTCTCCTTGTGGTGTGCGTCTTGAAGCTTTCTACAGTTTATCGTAAGCCGCTTTCCAACGGTCAATTGGTTTTTATGAAGAGCTTTTATTTCATATCAGTTTCATTCTTGGACTTGTCCTGCCGAGGGGTGACCGCAATTTGAAAAATTTATTTTCTATAATATTGGGTGTTGATTGAGCGTTCGAGGTCTGGGAACGCTGATCATCAGAATAGCAGAACGCAATTCTAACCACTCGGCTATTGAGGGACAAGGGCAAGGAACTCAGATTGTGCAGATATCGTGCTTTCTACAATTATAAAGCACACTGGCATTTAATATATCAGAAGATAAGACTCGCGATTCCGCCTGGCTATTCAAGAATCCCCAAGTAGTTGTTTATTGGACCTCTGTAGGCGTATTATATGACTAATACTTTCGTATGGAAGATGCATGGCAGACGCAAAGAACCGTCCCGCCACACAACACATCTTGGACATGGCGTTCTGAAAAGCCTGTTCTCCAATCATTCAAGGGTATTTTTAGCTGGTGGCAGCTATTGAAATCTTATCCTTTGGCCACTCTGATCACAACGTCCTTTCATCGATAGTCAGACCAGCCCAACCTAACCTAAAAGTGTATTGACTTAAACTCTATTTTATACCGCTTACAACACAGAAAGTAGAAACCCTTTTTGTAAGTCATCAGCCCCCTTTCTACATCAAACGTCAAAGAAGAAAATTTTTATTTTTTCTAACAGCCGACTACGGAATATATTTTTATTGAAAAATTTCTACGCATTTACTTTAAATCCACAGAAAACCAGCTCCGATTCCGGTGAATCACACTCTTACCGCACCGCACCGCATCGCACCACAATGTACCACAATCAGTACATCTATTCGCGTGAACGTCGACGCTTCGGTCGTCAGCCCTTACTCAGCGATCGCACACAACTCATGCTCAGCATACAACCCAGTCAGCGCATACGCAACTCCTACATACTGCGCAATCCGATGAACAACAGCACACAGCTAAGCGATCAGATGGCCTACAGTTGGGTGGAGACCGACAATGTCACATACGCCGAGCATGGCATGTATCATTACGAAGGTGGTTGGCCGCGCGAGGTCAACACAAACGACGAGGAGTCAACAATGCGCTATCGCAAAAAGATTGAACGTGAAGATAATTGGGGTGTGCAGGTGATGCATTTGATACACACATCAATGGATGTGACGGCACAAAATAGTGCCGTTAATATTTATCAAGAATTCTTCGTCGATCTACCGGCCGATATGGGTAAAGATATACGCATGCCATTGGAGGCGCGTCAATGCAATATATTTCATGATCCACAAAAACCCGTGCGACCCATCATAATTTTAGATTGGATGCCCAGCGAGCGGCGGAAATTTCTATCACAACCCACTAATTTCAGTAAGGATGAAGCGAAGATGAAACCGCAAGAGATAAGTGCTAAGTCGAGTGAGCCCGTTGGTGATAGTAGCATTTTGCAAAATGTGACTGATGTTTCACGTAGCGATTCAAATCCGAACTCATTCTATGTGTGGAATCAGGGTAATGCGCTGCACCCGGAGGTGGTGTTCGACTCAACGGAGCCAGTGCGTATTGCGCACTTTTGTCCGAAAGATGATAATTTCATTGCGGCTGGCCTACAGTCGGGCATGATGGGATTGTGGGATGCGCGTAATGGCGGTAAAGCCTTGAAAGTGTCACCGCTCGAGGCAGCACATCGTGAGGCGGCCGTTGCATTGTGTTGGGTGCACTCGAAATCGAATTCTGAATTCTATAGCGGTTCTTATGATGGCTCCGTGAAATACTGGGATGGTCGTGATTTGGAGACACCCATACAGGAAATTCTGTTAGATCCGGATCCAACCGACGATCAGAAACGTGAGCGCGCACATGGTGTTACCGTGCTGGAGTTTGAGTACACCATACCGGTGCGTTATATCATAGCCAGCGATCAAGGGCACATATTTATTTGCAACCGTAAGGGCATGTCACCCACTGAGGTCTTAATCTCCAATTATCGTCTCTTTTCGGGACCTGTGCGTACTATCGAACGTAACCCTTTCTTTGTGAAAAATTTCCTAATTGCGGCTGATTGGTGTGTAAAGATCTGGGCGGAGGAGTGTAAAGGGGCACCGACAACGCTGCTAATGAAGAAGAAAAATGAAATGTTATGCGGCACTTGGAGCCCTGCACGCTGCTCGCTCTTTGTCACGGGTGATTCAAGGGGTGAGGTGGACTTTTGGGACATTTTATTGCATCAGCGAAAGCCAATCTTTACACTGAAATTGAAACGACCCATTAAATATGTGAAATTTCGCCCGGATGGCAAGTACTTGGCGGTGGCTCTGGAAAATGGCGATGTACAACTTTTTGAGCTAGATCCGGCTTTGCGACAGAGTGCTGCTAAGGACAAAGCTTTATTAATGGCGGTGAGTAGTTGGAAATGTTGGGAGGTCTGTAGCTGAGAGAGTCTGTCAAAATTTTAAAAACCCTACTCACACCATTTTCAGCTATTCGAACGTGAATTACTCCGTTCCAAATTGCTGGAAGGCCGTGTCGAAGAAGTCAAGCTCAAGCGTAAGACATCTATGTTTGAAGCTGAACAAGCCAGAATGCGTGAGGCCGAGTTGGATTTGCTAGCTGAACTGGATCCCGATGATCCGGATCAATTTCTGCAGATTATCGAAAACGATTACGAATTTAAGGATATGCTCAAATTATTCAAGGACAGCACATTCAATATCGATAAGAAGCGACAAGAACGTCAGTTTGTTATGGAACGTACAGACTTTGAGAAATCGGAAGGTGAACTGTCGGCAACCGATTTGGAAGGGCTTACGGCAGAGGAAATAGCTGCCCTGCAAGCGTCGGGTGGTCTAGCCGGTGCCGTTGGCCAAGGTGTTGATGCAGCAGCAGCTGCTGGCAAAGACGCTGCAAGTGGCGCGGCTGGCGCTGCTGCTGGTAAAGAGGGTGCCGAGGCAGCCGGTGCGGCTGGCCCTGCTGGTGCTGATCAAAAGGAAACAGCGACTGGTGATAAACGAATAAAAGTGCTGAAACGCATGGCAGATAAAGATAAATGATTTGAGACAACGCAAACTATATTTTTAGATAACGTTTTTACATTCTACACACTTAAATTAATACACTCTTATACATACACGTTGATTTATTAAAAAACGCTGATTTTTGCAGCCAAAGCAGGTATTTCTATGAGTTTCATATCCACCACAAGTATACTCAGTTGCCGTCGCACCGCATTTGCTTTTCGTATAAGCAATTTCACTTCTAAATGTTCCATAAGAAATTTCCATTTGCGTTTTTCTTTCTCCTCATCGTTTAATGCTTGATATTCCAGTGGTGTTAGTGCTAAGATCCGCTCAGCTACAGCGCCGGAGAGACGTCCTTCCAACAAAGTGCCAGTGTGATCGGTAAATTGCACATTCATGTTGAAGAAATATTCGTACTTTTCACCTTCGTGGTTAAGTGAGAAGGTGAATTGGCACTGCGCTGATTCACAGATTGTTTGATTCCTTTTAAGCAACGCCTGGCAGGATTTGCTAGATAGAAGAAACGCATTTTAAGTGAGTTTCGTATTAAATCCCTCCAAGTATAAGTACTTACCATCTACGGCTAACAATTTGTGTGGTGCCATCGAAATCGAAGTGTGTTAGCATAGCATAAAGAATGGCGGTAAATTGGTCTGCATCATCTTTGAGATGACCCTCAGCGCGTGCATAAATTTGTTTTACAGTCATTTGTGTGGTTATTTTATCAGCTAGAAAAATGGTAATTTTGCGTTGATCTTTTTCTTTTTTTTTTTTTTTTGATTATCGCTGTAATTTTTTTCGTGTTTTCTTACCATCTTGTTGATTATTCATTGTAAAAGCCAACGCGTCCCAAGATTTATTCGCCGCACCCGCGGCAAACTGTACTAATGCATCCACTTCCTCACCTATGGGATTTTCATAGGCCAGTGTACGACCGGTGAATGATAAGGTTGTACTTTTATAAAATTCCGAATAACTAAGTTTCACTTCTATTAAATACAGAACAGTACGATTTGCTTCCCAGTACTGCTGAGCGCGTAATATCCAATCTGGCTGCCAAATACTCAGTATAACACCATCAGCATAACTGCTATCGATCACTATTAATTCAAGACAGCTCAGCAATTCCCCACTACGCTTACTACGCACTTCCTTTACTGGCCGTTGGTTAGCCACCAATACCAGTAAATCGACAAATTGTGCTTTTGCATTGCTTTCCTTCGTACTATAGCGTATATCCTGCAATTTCAACGCACTACAGAGCGGCTTATGTGGAACACGGCGTAGATTGTGTAATTCGCGAAATGTGTCAATATCTCTATAGTTCTGTTTGTCCAAACGTCCTTGACCTTCATTCACCACTAATGAATATGGCACTGTGGGTAGTGGCTGAAAATGCGCATTATCGGCCCAAGTGGACTTCTCATAGACAAGCGTAGGCACAATGCTCGGTGTGATGACGTCGATAATGTCGTAAATTTTGAAATTGCGACTATAATCAGTGACTTGCTCTTTGGTACCCCACACTTTACAATTGATAATGTGTCGCTTGGAGTCGCGTAGCGTAAAAGTGATAACGCCACGATATTCATTTGAGTCGCGTGAAAGAAAAGTATTCGGCGTAGTTTTCGTAAGAATAATAGCAGTAATTAAAGCATTTCTCGTGTCTACATTGAGTTCAGCAATTTTTTTCGGTACAATTCCGGCCATTTTCGAAAATTGTAAATTAAAATCAACTGCATAATTTTTTCTTTCAAATAACGGATGCGGAAAATGTTGCAGTTAGCCGTTAACAAACGTGCAGTGCTGCCAAGTTACGTTTAGTGCATTACGTACAGAGTTGTTACATTTTGTTGCCAAGTTACTACAGCAGAAACTTTATTATCGATTTAACAGTTGAAATCGTTTAGTTGTTATAAAAATGAGTTGATATTTGTATATTACCTTTATTCAGCACAAAATATTAATATCAATATAATTAAATAGAAAATATTTATAAATTAAATAAAATGGAATACACCTTCAAGAAAGAGCGACGCACGTTTGGCGCTCACGCCAGCTTTAGCGACAAAGATGAAGTTATTTTCTCGGAGAATTCTTCACAAGAGCAAGCTAAGAGTTACATACTTAAGAATCCTGTAGATCGCATAACACTTTTCACTAGACAAATGGCCTTGTCGGAGGCCAATACTGAACGCGCTACATACAAACATGTCGGTATCACCCATAACGAAGGTGGTTGGCCCAAGGATATTGCTATGTCCGATCCAGAGCAAACAGTGCGTTATAAACGTAAAATTGAGAAAGATGAAAACTACATAACACAAGTAATGAATCTCACCAAACCGATGGAGCATTATATACATCAAAATAATGCAGTAAATATTTATGAAAATTATTTTGAAAATCTTGATCCGGCACCCTTGCCGGAGCCATGTCGTTCACGTACTGTTAACGTTTATCGCGATCCGAATCCTATGAAAGTGCCGGTGACACATCTTTCCTGGTCGCCAGATGGTGGCATAAAAATGGCTGTGAGCCATTGTGATATGAAATTTCAAGGTGATAAGACGGGACAACGTTGTAATTCATATATTTGGGAAATAGAAAACCCCAATGAACCGTTTTTGACACTTGAACCCAAAGTAGCTTGTGTTTGCCTGGAATATAACCAGAAAGATCCGACCAGTTTGGTCAGTGGCATGTATAACGGACAAGTAGCGGCTTGGGATACGCGCCACGGCAAATATCCGGTAATGATAAGTGAACGTGAAATATGCCACCGCGATCCGGTTAACTCAGTACTGTGGAACAATTCAAAGAGTGGCACGGAATTCTTCTCCGGGGGCTCTGATGGACAAGTGTTATGGTGGGATACGAGAAAGTTAAGTGAGCCGTTAGATAAACTTTTAATGGATCCAGTGCGCACCGATGAGCAAGATTTGGGACGTTCCTTTGGTGTTTCTGTACTGGAGTATGAAACCACCATACCAACGCGTTTTATGGCTGGCACTGAAATGGGCATGCTTTTCTCATGCAATCGCAAGGGTAAAACACCCATGGAGAAGATACAGATAAGGGTAAGATGGTATTGGTTAAATATAAAAACAGCTACCACAAGTTTATTGCTCTTCAGATGATGTGCCATTTGGGACCAGTCTATGCTATAACGCGAAATCCTGCCTTTGTGAAGAATTTCCTTACAGTAGGCGATTGGTGTGCGCGTATTTGGTCTGAAGATTGTCGTGAAAGCTCTATAATATGGACTAAAAATAGTGATGCTATGTTGACTGATGGCGCTTGGAGTTATACCAAGTGAGGGAACTCGCAAATCATATAAACTGAGTGTAATGTCCGTCTATATTCTTTAGAGTATCGCAATTTTTCATAACCCGCATGGACGGCGTGCTTGATACCTGGGATTTACTGCAACAGCAAAATCAACCAGTGTTAACGGTGAAAGTATGTGATGAGCCCTTACACTGTGTGCGTACCAACGAAAATGGAAAATTTGTCAGCTGTGGTAGTAAACTGGGCGCTACCTTTCTCATCGAAGTTTCAGATAATATGGTTATGTCTGCCAAGAATGATAAACCATTGCTAACGGCGGTAATTATAAATGTTGAGGAGCATTCATTTTCCAATGACTTACGAAATCCTCTTTTTGATTGTAGATGTTCGAGCGGGAAAATCGACGAGAGAAAATTTTGGAAGCTAAATCTCGTGAAATCAAATTGAAAGTAAAAACTAACCAAGGACAAGATCAAGGTGACCTCACAATGTTAAATGGACGTGTAAATGTTGCACCATTTAAAGACGCTTGCGAACAAGCAGCAGCCGAATATTTTGCAGCTGTAGAACAGGAACGTCTAAGACGTGTTCCTGGTAACAAGCGTAGGTGATCAAATAGACTTTTCTGATGTTTTTTATTCAAAAATAACGATACTTTTGTACTTTTCTTTCTTACAGAGGATGCCGACGAGGCTGAGGCGTCTGAAATTGATAGTGCGCGGACGTAATGAAGGGACTTAAATGTAGAAATATAATAATGTTGTGGTTTTTGAAAATAAATTAGAAGATTTCTTGTTCAGTCAAACCGTCTATTCACGCGTTTGCTCAAAAAGAGGTCCATGAAAATTAAGAGAAATATGAAACGTGGGATCCTAAGGAAATATCTAGCCTCTCTATTATCTTTTGAGTTCGATAATATTTTAAAATGAAATAAAGCTCAGCTTTGATTGGCCTATGGCAACATGTAAATTTCGCCAGGTTGTGGCTGCCAGTACTGATTTCTTAATAAAGACTATGATATTAGGGGCAGATTGGAGATCTTTTGCAAAAAAAAAAAATAAGACGAGTCCTCATTATCTCATTAAACATATTTTGGTAGAGACAATGATTATATAATATTATCTAGAAATATGAAATATTAAACATTTTTAAAATTCTAACTTTATTTTCAAACAAAAAATTTTAAATTTCTAGTTGCCCTGTCTTGCAATTGTACATATTTGTTCCCAACACTGTTTATTTATAAGAATGGCAGCTCAGAGTGGCAAGCATTGTACAGCCTCTACTGTACAATGGTGGCAATTCTGACAGTCAAATGACGTTTAATAATCTTTCATGTGTTTCCTGCTAAATTTGGAGTAAAACTACAAGTTGATGCTAAAAATGAAAGAAATCAACGCTTAAAATACTCTAAAATCAGTGTAAATTGCAAACATTCTAAACAATGGTGTAATATTTGTGAATTAAATCGGTTAAAAAAGCGTGTCATCTTATATTTTTTGCATGTGCCTTTAAGGGGAGAAAATACATATATACATACTACATAAAAACAGCTGATTTCGCTACGCTGTTGCTCTGTTTTCAGGTGCCTACGTGACTTTTGCATATATGCCAATGGTAGCCAAACCTCAGTATCAAACAATAAAAGCAACAACACGTGCAAACTAAACACAACAACAAAAGAAAATACGTTGAGGTAAACAAAAAGTACACCACCATCCAGCAAAGCTAAAAAGAAATAACAATTGCAAATACGAAAATCAAACGCTGCTGTGAAGCAGACCAAACCAGACGTAAACTTCTGTGCATAAAAAATGTGTTTTTGAATGAATATGTGTAAAAGAATGATTTGAAAAATTGTTAATAAAATAACATTGAAAAGTGAACATTCTGAAGTGCGAAAGAGTTGGTTCGTTTGCAAGAAGCAACAATCAACAGCGGAAAAGTGTTGAGTTACCTAAACACTTGCTACTTAAATATACAAGTTTAATGAATAAAAAAGTGTCTGAACAAATCGAGGAACAATTATTTATTGAAGCTGAGAAATAAAAAAAGAGAATTGTGACCTAATTTTTCGCTTGTGGCAAAAATTAACTAAGAACTTTTATAAAACTTACATAGATTTCAATGAAACGTCTTGCCGAATTACATCAGCCGGACGCTACCCATACGTAATATAGAAAAATACACATAGTACATATATTATCTGCTGATTTGTTAAAAGCCATACCCGCAAAGTTATTATACCAGCACGAAAAAGCCAAACACCAAGGTGAGTCTTGCTAAAAGATGCTTGACATCAATTTCACTAAAAATAGCTATATGTATGTGTTTTTTATACATGTACATACGACTATGCTTATACAAATGTTAAATGAAGTATTACTTATTTATTATATGCATACATATGTATGTTTTTATATAGTATATATTTTTATTTGCATAATACTTCACACAATACAATGAAGTTTGCGTTGTAATTTATTTTCTTGGTTAAAAAAATGAGTCACCACTACTCCACAGAAGTGAAATCTGGCATAAATAGTATTAAAATAATCAAAAAAATGTACTTATTAATAAATGAATACATATACCTATGCATATAACTTAATGTTAGTGAATAACACAGACGAGCCCCTTTTTCGCCAACATTTGTTGCGGTAAGTAGCCCGGCAACTTTGAAAAATTTTGTGTAAACTGAATTTTTTGTGTGCATTGTATAAATTACAGTTTTAACAACGCCTTTCATTTACAACAGTGTGCACATAAATATGTATGTACGAACGTGATTGCAATAGGCATGTACATACTTCATCATGTCTGGAGTTCTACCCTTTTTTCGGACCACTTTTTTTTTTTGGAAGCCGACTTTGAAGCGTACGAATTGCTCACGTACACCATCGCTATGCACAAATTTAACGCAACAAACATTTATATATGTATAATTCATTGTGTTTGCATACGCGTAGCATCTATTTGTATGTATGTATGTATATGAATTAAATTTTGCGCATTTTTATTATTGACAAAAATATGATTAGAGGCAGCTAATTAAATATACAAAAAAAAAAAAAAAAAAAAAAAAAAAAAAAAAAAAAAAAAACCGTGATCCATAAACGACTGTTAATTTCCGCGATTTAGTTGAATTAGAAAGGCAGATAATGTTATGCATATGTATGTATGTATATTTTATGTTATTCTATTCATTATATACAATATAAATCAGATTTCCGCATTTATGTACTATGCGAATATATATATTTATGTATGTACATACATATTCCTTTGTTTATTTTTATTGTATAAATATGTTTTAGTGGAAAAAATACTCGAAACTTCCTTTAAACTTGTTATTTTTTGTCTCAGTTAGTATGAAACTTTATTTCTGTTCTTAAAAACCCAAAATTTTAGGGGAATTTTTTTTTCTTAAAAAATTATATTATTTAAATTTTTTTTTGCCTTGATTCACAAACTGTTTGTTTTTGTTGTTACACACCTTTCAATAATTAACGACTTGCAAATCGCTTTCGAAAAGCAGGTTTAATGCATGACTGTTTGCCTGTTTGTATGCCAGTACCAGTACATACATACATATATACATATATGTATAAAACCGCAGATAAACACCTTCGAAAATGCGTCATATGTTTGTAAAAACTGCAAGGCGCATGTAAATAAATGTTAATGTAATAAAAACTATATTAAAAAATATGTATTTTTCTGTTAAAAATTGATCACCAAAAGAAGAAGTAGAAGATTTGTAAAATTGTTAAAAACCTTGACAGACATTTTGGAAACTAAGATATGAAGTGCGTTTCAGGACTGTAATTATTAGTTTATCTTTTTATAAACAACTTGTCTAGCATTTGCAATATTCGTAAGAGACTTTTAACTATATTTGTATAACTGGTATAGTTTAAATAAATAAATCACTGATAAGTACTACTTAAAATAAGTTACATATATTGCATTAAGTATTATTTAATAAAAGTAAATGATGTCTGGCTAATCTGGGCTATCAATAAAATGAAAATGAGACGCGTGTGCTAAAGTTGCCTTGTCATAGTATACAGATAATAAATTAATAAAATCAGCGTACACATGCAAAACTTTTTGAATCTCACAATTAAATTACATATTAATTTCTAAATTGTTTTTAAAAATATTTTTTTGTTAATTTTTTTTTTTAATTTTCTTCTTCCTTTCAGCACAATGTTAGATGTTATGCATGCCGTTAACATGGACTTAACACCGAAAGAGCCAGTCACTGCTAGTGCCACAACCAGCAATGAAGTTGTTGTTGTACGTGCCAAACCAAAGAAGGTATTCAAACCGAAAGCGCGCATTAATCGCATACCACAATCTTTACTCGATGATCCACTGCTGCAGAAGGCCATAGAACGCCTGCCTGCAAATTACAATTTTGAGCTACACAAAACCATTTGGCGTATACGCGATATGAAAGCGAAGCGTGTCGCTTTGCAACTGCCTGAGGGTTTACTTATGTTTTCAATGATTATAAGTGATATAATTGAACGTTTCACTGATGCCGATACTGTGATCATGGGCGATGTTACTTATGGCGCCTGTTGTGTAGATGATTATACAGCCAAAGCTTTGGGTGCTGATTTATTGGTACATTATGGCCACAGCTGTCTCATACCGGTCGATCAAACGAGTGATATTAAAGTGTTGTATATCTTTGTCGATATCAAAATTGATCCATTGCATTTCATCGAGACAGTGAAATTGAATTTCCAACCCACAGAGGGTCAAATAGCGTTGGTGAGTACAATACAATTTGTTACCACACTGCAAGCAGCATCGGCTGAGTTGAAGTCAGCTGGTTATGATGTTATTGTGCCGCAAGCTAAACCATTGAGTCCTGGTGAAATATTGGGTTGCACTTCGCCGGAATTGCCTGCCTCTGTTAAAAAGTTGTTATATCTCGGTGATGGACGTTTCCATTTGGAATCATCTATGATTGCTAATCCCACATTGAAGGCATATAAATATGATCCATATGATAAGAAATTCACCATTGAAGAGTATGATCATCGTGAAATGCAGTCGATACGATATCGTGAAATCGAACGTGCTAGAGAGGCGAAAAAGATTGGTATTATTGTCGGTACCTTGGGTCGGCAAGGTAGTAGTCGAGTGCATCGTTTTCTCGAAAAGCGTCTACACGCTAAAGGTTATGCGACTACAACAATTTTGCTCTCCGAAATCTTTCCACAGAAATTGGCACTTTTCAGTGGTATCGATGCTTTTGTACAAATCGCATGTCCACGTCTATCCATCGATTGGGGTTCAGCTTTCGCCAAACCACTGCTGAATCCCTATGAATTGTCCGTTATGTTGGGTGATGTTGAATTTACACCGCATAACAAAGCACCCAAAAATAACGCATATCCCATGGATTTCTACGCGACCGGCAGTCTGGGTCCATGGACACCCAATTTCAAACCACCCGCTGTGGGCGAATGTGATAACAAACCATCCGAGGCATGCTGCGGCCGCTGCGTGCGCGCCGAATTGGAGAAAGATGACAGCGATGCAGCGCGTGTGGCTACGATAGAAGATATCTTGGACTTTAAAAAAGGATAAGCTAAACAAATATACGTACAAAAGCAATAGAAATACATTTGAAAAGCTTTTTAGTTAGTTTAGTGTTGTGTTCAAGAAAGTGAGCGAATATTAAAAAATGTAAGTTAGTTTTGAAAAAAAAAAATAAAACAACAATGGCTTAATCAAAGTCCATGAAAATTTGAGACTAAAATGTAAACAAACTGCTTAGCATAAGAACTTATTCTTTGTGTAAATGCTTTTAATTACATTAACTGTTTTGTTTAATGTATTAACATGCTTTTATATGATTTCGCTTAATAATACACACGTATGTACTTTTCGTTTATCCAAATAATTTTCACATATGTATGTATGTGCACAAGTTAAATTAAGATTATTTTTATATATTTTTCCTTAGTTAGCTTCATTTATTTAATGCATACATATATATACATTTTTTATTTAAATTACTTAAAATGTATGACATTTTTGTATTGTAATGACATTAATTTAAAATACATGAATAAATATAAAAAAAAATAATATGAGAATGTATCAAAATCAAAATGCAGCATCCTGCGGAATAAACAAAAATTAAATTAAAGAAATCATTTACTTTTATTTGTTTCAAACAGTCTGACAGACAAAAGATGTTTGGTTTAACGTAAGTAAAGTATTACATTCACTATAAAATATTTTTTCCGATTAGTTTTGCTAAATATTGTTGAAAACGGAAGTTAGACAATATTTCCTGTTTCGCCATTTTTGTAGTTAACATAGTCCATAAAGTACCGTTTTCTGTGCAAGAGCTTTCTTAATACTCTGAGAAGTTTTCAAGCATAATTTTTGTTTATTTAAAATACTGCTTTCTTAAAAAATGGATAAGTTGGAAAACAACTTCAATGAATTTCCGCTTCCGTAAATGGCTCGATTTGAACTGTTCCCTGTTCAAACTGTCCCCATTAAAAAAGTAATTTATTATCATTTAAATAAACATTTGCAAGTGAGTCCTACAGGCCTATTCTCATTGTTACCGGTTAAGTAAATTTTGTTACTTTTTAAACCAAAATTTACAGGGTAACAGTGAGCTCAGAATACGAAATGTTAACAAAATTTACTAATTGGTAAATTTTGATACCAGAATAAATTTTGTTACCTCGACAGAATAGGCCTGTTAGTGTCACAGCTGTTAAAATTTATTTTTATTTAATAAATAGTTCTTTCTTTTATGTCAAAATAACTGAAAAATATTAAAAAAAAAATATTAAAACCAGAGTTGCTTTGTGTGCTCTTTTCTATAAATTGAAAAAAGTAGTAAGCAGATACTCGATTTCTAATTTTTTGACACATGAAATTTTTTTAGCATTTCTTGAGCTTTTTATTTGTTTGTAATTATTGCTTTTCTTAAGAAAGGTGGATTAAGCTTAATGTTGGATATAAGGCAGTACCAAACAAAACACACTCATGTGAAATGCATGACTTTTGAATTATTCAAAGTATATTTACTCTTTTACAGTGATCTGCTCTACCGTGACAGAATAAAATCTGCATTATTTAGAAGCGGGAAAATTCAAATTAAGTAGATACTGAAAAGGTATAAGTATGTCAGTGCAGAATGTGTGTATTTCATTACAACATCGATGGAATATGTTTAACTCGTCGCATTTAAGAATTTGAAAAAAATGAATAGCAGTAATAAACGTAGAAAAAATGTAGATTTAGGAAAACTGACGGACTGAATCTGATTTTGACAGTTGGTGTGGTGAAATTCAAACGTTATGAAATTTTGTTTAAATTTAATTTAAAAAAAGGTAATAGAGATTGTATTTTTTCGTACTTAAATAGTTTCTTCATTATGTTTACTTAAAAGTAAATTTAGCATGTTTAGTTAGGCCATTTCTCTATATAGTAAAAAGAGAGAAATTCACCTCCGAAAAACGTCGTAGCCTAATGTGCAACCTTGTCGAGGTGAGTTCAGCCGTGCATAATTTTTTAGCGAAATAAAGTAACGCCAACGAAAATATACATAAATCCGCATCAATGAAGAAAATGAGTTTTGAACAAAGAGCAAACATCAAGTTTTGCTTTAAACTTGGTAAAACTTTTACCGAAACATTCAATATGATGAAGGAAGTGTATGGTGACGATTGTTTATCCCGTGCCCGGGTACATAAGTGGTTCAAGCGCTTTCAGGAAGGTCGTGAAGATATAAAAGACGATGACCATCCAGGACCTGCCAACACAGTGGTTACTGAAACTAATATCGAAAGAGTGCGTGAATTTATCAAAAATGAACCGGACGCATCACTGCGTCACATGGAAGTGGAATTAAATATGTCGAAAAACTCAATTCAGCGTATTTTGACCGATCATTTACACATGCGAACAAAACGTAGCCTCAAAAGGCCAAACGGCGAGAGTGTACAAATATGCCAAGTAAAAGCTGAAAAAATGTCTAATGCAATACGTGAAACAAACACTGGAATGGAGCAGACAAAACCAGCTGTGAACCATTGAATGAACTATGAGGAAAACTTCTTTAAAGACTTGAAAAATTACTATAAAAAGAGAAGAACATTTCAGTACATTATGTGAACAAATTGATTCGGCTGCAATGAGTTGATGGAAAAAGAATATGGATTATTTAATACTTAAATATCTGTATGTACATATTAGGTATTAAGAATGGAGCAATGAAATTCAATAACATTCAGTCTGAATATATGAAAAATGAAAGCAATGCTTGTCTCCTTGTAACTGATGATTATATATTTGACGTATGCAGCCACAATGGAAGATAGCTTAGAGTTTTGACATTTGCAATTACAACCAGCGAAGCTCTTCACCAGCTGGATGAAGTCGATGACGTCGAAATTACCACCCTTAACGGGTATTCACACTCTGGATACGACTATCACCGAAGTACAGGCAAGTCAATAGTCGCAAGCACCTGGGGAAAGAAAAGACACAGGAACCTTATAAATAAACTATACGGCTCCGATTTAAACACCGGACCAGCGAAACGCAGATGAAGATCCTTCAAGACATTCAGAACTTAGGAATAACCTGTATCCCAAGGTGAGACTTTTCAGCTCCCAGTAAAGGATCGTAACTCTATGAAGACAGTACATGCCGAGATGTTAACGCAGTGTTCGGCAGCAGTAACATCAGAAAGAGAGTACTTCACTTTTTGCCTGCATTCAGCAACATTTTTCTGTACAGAACAAATTACCAACAGGCTCTGAACGCCGTTTACAGATAATCTGTCAACACCTTCATCAACTTTTTTTGGAATCCAAACACCACACATAGCAAATGAATAAAACGAGCGATAGCCAACTAATACAGCTGAACTTCTACTTATTTAGACTGTTCCCAAAAAAAACAAGTTCAAATGTTGAATTCTAAGGAGGGAAATGGCATAAGATATTTACCGCATAAGCTTAATGTGTTTAGTACCTTGTACATATAAGTATATTGTATTTAATTTTGTTTAATAGAAAATAATTTCGTTATGTATTTAAAATGTCTATTCCTTTGTATTGAAATTGAAAAAGGGAAATAAAAAACAGAATAACAATCCAGAGGTAACTAATTTGCTATGAATTATGCAATTTGGTAAGAACAGTTCAAAAGGAATATTTTTGACCTCACCAGGTAACAGAAAAATTATGCATATTTTTTTCGAATATTTTTTGTAGGCTTTCCCAGAAGGATACTATCCCGAAAACGTTTCTTCCGCCTTTTATTTGGGAAAAGTTTGAGTATGGCAGCGGCAAATTTCCGTTTCCGTGTATAGTTTCAATATAAACTGTACTCAAGTCATTGGCAAACACCAATTTTAAATTACACATATGTGGCAGCACTTTACTTTGTTTTAGTTTTTTTTTGTTATTTTTCCTACACCTCTCTCTTAATTTCCGTAGTGTTTCTAAAACTTTTTCATTTGTTGTTGATTGTTCATTGCTTAATTAATAGAAAAAAACTCGAATAACCATCATAAAATAATAAACCAATAAAAATTTATATTATTTAATATTAAATACTTATAAAACAATGCTAAAAAGTAGTAATTTGGAAAGGTAAATACTCAATGAAATGTAAGAATCCAACAAAAGATGTCTTTCTCTAGATTCAAATCAGACGGACAGTCATAAGTGCAATAACAATAATAATAAGGAACGATAATAGCAAAGGAAGGCCTTCTATTATATGGGTCATAAACCAATTTATGACCAGCAACATTGTGATAATTTCAACAAATCAACCTGCATATTAGCTTAGTTATTTGTTAGAAACTCAAAGTTTTATATACTTTTCATTTCAGTATTATTAATGCTGTGGAAAAGGAAGGTCAGCCGCCGTGCGCAACAGATGATTTGCAAGTACAATTATCGTCAGCTGTGAATAATAAGGACTTTAGCAATATCAATCAAATACCGCCGCTACAAGCTGACAATACTTTTGAAAATGTTAATAATGTTGAAAACGATGCTACTTTCGCGGCAAACGCAAATACTGAGCTGCCCCCTTCATTGGCTAACAGACAGTTGACCACTGGTCTATTGCAGATTTTCGAGCCACCATTGTCCAAAGCGCGCGGTCAGCTGAAGGAACTCATGTAAGTTGTATAGGGTTTGAATTATTCAAATTTTCTTTAGCTATTTGCTTTTTTTTTTTTTTAGTGGCAAACAGAATAAAATTTACATTGATTTGTCGACGGAGAAATACAGATTAGATAATGCTGAAACTGAGAAACTGCAAGAAATGGTAAGTATCTACATATATATGTGCAGGAGGCTGCATTTCATTAGTGAAGGAAAATGTAGATGGGGGATATATTTGAACAGTTCCGAAGAATTTGGATTTTTCAACGAAAATAGAAGGAAAGAAATTTCTACAAACGTTTAAAATGCCAAAAAAGCTAGATTAAGGTTAAAAGATTTGTTATATGGCCATGTATGTGTTGTGGAAAGTCCATGTTTAATCAATATTTTTTTTTTTTAATTTTATATGTTTAAGATAAAACGAACTTTTACAATCTACTATACATTTGTCGATGACAAAGTTGGATCATGTACACCTCTGACGTAATTTAGCTACAATTAAATTAACAACCACACTCAGGGCTTTTAATAACTACCATTTCTTTCTTCACAGATGAACAATGTAAAAATTTATCGCGAAAAGTTAATAAAGATTAAAAAACAAATGCAAAGCATTTATCAACGTACTAAAGTATTGAAGGTAATTAAATTGCGATAATAAAGGAATTCAAATCAAGTATCTTTATTACATTCTGATAAAATAAAAAAAAAAAATATTTTTACCTCAAATTTAAATACAAATTTAATTTTATTACCTAGAAACGCGCACTTAATGTGCAGTACTGTAAACAGAAAGAACTACAACGCAAACTGTACAAACAACAACAAGAGGAAGCCTTGATTGCCAAGCAAACGCAACAAACCAAAGCAACAACGCCGTTGCAATGAAGAGGAGCAAACTAATAATTGAATGTACACGGAAATTTTCATAGATTTTGTATGTAATATTGAATGAAAGAATTTTAAAGACTTGCATATTATTATAGTTAAAAAAGTAGATTTTTATATATTTCATATAAAATATACATACATATATATTAATATATTTAATTAAAATGAAATGAATGCCCTATGAGCGCCATGCCTTTCTTAACATACATATTTTTGTTTTTAAGTTTCTGCGCCACAAAAAGAATGAGCATAAGAACAAGCTACCATGCTTTGGTTTTTTTTTACTACAAAAAGAGGTATGAATTATAAAAATGCAATTTTTTTGCTTAAATTAGTGTAAAAGAACAGTGTAAAAGAATTCAAGATTACTTACATATGTATATATATATATAATTATTTGTGCTTATAATGCAAGATTCAACAGCATGACTAACGGTAAAATCAAATTAAGCTTTAACATAGAGAGAGTAGAATTAATGGGTGAAATTAAAGCTATATGTATAAGCTAGTAAAAAGCTGTGTACATTTACTGCTGTTAGATACACATTATTCACATATATAATTGGTTGATTGTTTAATTAACTAACTACATTTTACACAATTTTCAAGATATTTTTAGTTTAAAACCTGTTAAAGCGCTTAGTAATGTAAATAATTGTATAAATTAATGCCTCTATAATATATATGTAGCTTAACTAAACAAAGATCAAAAACCATAAAGTACCACTAACACACTTACATAAATTAGCTACTACATATTAATAACATAAATACTATTTTGTCGTTGTATTAGCTGTTTAAGTCCTCTTTTTTCTTGTTTCTGTTGATAGATGTGCGTTATTGGTAAACAATCCTTCTTACTACATACATAAATACATACATAAGTACGCAAAGTAAAATAGTTCACAGCTCAGAGTGAAAAAAAAAATAAAATAATAATAATAAAACAGTAAAGCAAGTGTAGGCAGCTATCACACATTCCAGAGCCAATCAGAAACAGCGGTTCCAGACCGCCGGCAAACATATAATTGCTTATACTGCTGTTGAACAATTGACTGCTTAGATTCGTATTTTTCCCGTCTTCTTTTAAATTTAGATGTTTTTTCTTATGGTACAATACTGTATTCTGGATCGTTGAGCATATGCATCGCATCGTTGGGTGTCAAATATTTCACTGTGCCTGTAAGCAGTTTCAGTAGCAGATAAGCAAAGAAAAATTCATATATAAATAAATAAAAGTTAAACAAAGCGAATCAGGTAAGTTTAGTATGTATTATATGTGTATGTAAACAAAATAAATGAATTAAAAAGAAAAAATTTACACGCTGGAACAACTACAGCAATGGAATTGAAGTTTTCTGTTGACCGTAAGCATCGAGTTACATGCAAAACACATTCAATACACACACGTTGTAATATTCTACGTTACACTGATATGATAGGAAATATACAAATAATTGAAATCAATACTTAAATGTAGAATTGCTGATAACAGAGTTTCTGAATTAGATTCTAACAAAAAAAAAAAGAAAAAGAAATCTAAAATTAAATACGCGACATTTTCAAAATTCTTGAAAAAATAGTAAAAGAATACCACGCAAAGTCACAATTAATTTAATTGGCTGATGAAAAGCTATAAGTTCTATAATTTATTCTATTGTGGCATACTTCGTAAGTTATTCAAAGAAATTATTTGATTTGAAACCAAAAGTCATTTCTCTCAGCTATAAAACATGCTCTTTTAGTACAGGACAAACTAAATTTTACAAATATTAGATACATGTGTGCGCATTTATTTAAACTATATTATTTGAACGTTGATTTTTTTTTATTTTTTCCAGCGCAATAAGTGTATACGCACTGTTGTAGTTAAAAATTCAAAACAAAAAGTAGGCAAAAGAGGCTACATTTGAAAATAATTTAAAAACTACACATTAACTACCAATTAAGCTAATGCTTGCATGCAATCACTAGTAAAATAATGAAGAAAGAAATTTCGAAATTACCTTAAATCATTGTGAATATTTCATATTTGAGCTAAAATTTTGCTGAAAACGTTCTCTTTGGTACAAATATAAAATGGTTTTTAATGAAAAATTTTGTGGAAATGTAAAATGGTTTCTTGAAACTCTGATTTTAATATGTATTTATTTCAAAATTGCACACTACATATGTATATATAAAATTATATTTTTTTTATAGGAATATTAAAAAACTCTTAATTTATATAAAATCTTTTTAGTATTCTTTTTTTTCTTTTTAAAACCAGTTTTACCGATTTTTTTTTAAATTTCAGTTAATATTTTTTTTCGATGAATGTTAAACTAAGTACCATAGGAAAATCACCGTATTGTGTTTATTAGGAAGTAATATCACCTTTTTGTCGACTTATTTAAATCCACTGATTTAGAAGAAAATGTTGTATATTAAAAAAAAAAAAAAATACTTGTGTGCAACTTATAAAATGCTATCATTTAGCTTCCTTCGAATGTAAATAATACTATCTAAACACTCTCTCTAGCATCTAGCTTAAATCCACATCGGTGAACTCATTGTCAACAACACCCTTTCCGCCGTTCGTTTCACTTACTGACCATATTTTACCATTTTCTTCAGGTAAACATTTAATATCGTTCGTTATAGTTTCTACCTCTTTTTGCTTACCATTTACGGCATCATCACCCTGCCCCGTACGTTGCAAATACCATTGCACAAGTACATGTACAATGAATACAATAAAGGCGAAAATGCCGAAGAGTAGGAATGTTCCACTGCCACTAATAGCGGCAAATAGGTAGCCAGCAATTAAGCTACCCATCGAAACGCCAACACCTTCGAAAATTGCACCGACTAATCCCTATAAGAAAAATTAATGTATTGAATAATTTTTTAATATTTTTTTTTAATGAAATTTAAACCCCCCTTCAGTTGTTATTTAAATCCACCCACCCCCTCATACACTCACCTGCATAGTCGCCTCTGTACCGGGTGGCGCCACAATACTCGCATACGATGCCATTGTCGAGTAGAAAATACCGAATGTGACACCATTCAACATTTCAATGGGCAACACAAACCATGGATTCACCAATTGCGAATAGAGTATGAAACGTACGCCAAAAGCGAAAAGTACTAAACTCATAGCATTAACATGACCGATTTTGCGCAATATCCAGCCGGAGAGAAAGAAGAAGGGTAATTCGCCGCCAAAACACTGTATGCCCGAAGCAATGCCTTCAAGTGTTTTCATGGAATTTTGACAACCTTCCAGCTTTTCACCCAACTCATCCAAATGCATGAAGAGAAAGTTCCAAATAAGCGCGGTGCACAAACCAATCGATATGCACCATAGGAAAAATATCACACAACGAACGGAAAGGAACATTTTACCGACATCTTTAAGAATATTCGGTGATAGGGTGGTTTGCGTATGCTTTGATAGAAAAAAGGAAATGTATTAAAAATATTCCAAATCATACAAACAATTTCTTTGCTTCCAAAACTACTCACCTTCAACTTTGTGGATGCAAATAAATCGAAACCAATTATCACTAAAGTCATCCAAAAGACGATTGTATAGTCTTTATTAACACTACCGCCTGACATCTTATCCACCAATACACCAGCTATAATGGAGAATAGGCCAAAACCAATGGAGCCACACAAACGCTGATTGCCATATAGATGATGACGCTCACCCAATATCGAAAAGCATATAGCATCGCCAATGCTCACCACCACAGCCATACCAATCCAGCTTATAATTAACATTATAAAGAAATACCAGAATTGATACATGCCTGCGACCTTGCCATTCTCAATGACTGCATTTTGTGTCAATTGGTTGTGGAAATATTCATCGTTACATTGAATGTTACAACTTGTATTAAATTGTGGCTTATCATGTGGACAATTTAATGTGATATTTTCACCATTCATTTGACCACGATCGTGTGGTATGACAAAGAATAGATGATCACCAGGCATTTCGATTTTACTCATATTGAGAAAGGTGGTGAAGTTCAATTGTGGATTATTGCGCTCGGGACAATTGACGTTGGTGATGGTATTCATAGTGGTACTGTTATTGTGGAGCCAATTTTCGCAAACAAAATCCCAACGCTCCGGATCTGATTGACAGTATAGTTCGCATGTGAGCACACGACCGCCATAGTAATTTTCCAGATTGTTTTCTATACACTTATCGAATTCTGAGTAATATTTTACTGCAGATGCGCCACCATGACAATTGAACTCCACTATGGGCAGTGCTTGTGGTATAGCTGGTGTGAATTGTATAAGAAAAAAGGCAACAGCAGTAAGTACTTCGCCGATGAGGAAAAGTAAACGATGACGTTGATAACTGTAAATTTGTTTCCAATTGTTCGATTATTAATAATAAAGAGAAATTTCGACAATATATTTAATCGATTCAATTAAAGGACTCACCGATCAGCAATAAAACCAAAAAGCGGCTTCGCCAACATGCCAACAATTGGCAGAATTGTATACATTGTACCAATAACAACAGTAGAGAAGCCTAATTGACGCGCCAGTGTGGGCATGAAAGGGATTACCGGCGCTGTGCCTGTGAAAGAAATTTATTATTTATTGTTATTGTTCATATATAAGAGAATGAAATTTTTTATGAAGACATCAATTTAAAACCGCAAATTGATTTTTGATAGAGCGCGTATACATGAAAAAATGTTAAAATAAAAAGGGAAGCTCTACAAGTATGGTGATTATCAGCCCGCTTGCAGACACTTCACATATGCACAAACTTATGCTGATCTTAAGTATGTACTACAATAGATAAAATTTGCGTGACAAATGGTATGAAAGATAAATATAACTAATATTTAACTGATTAAACAAATGTTGTACAATGAAAGTGATGAAATTTATATATATATATATATATATAGGCTTTATGCTTGGCCAACTGTAGCAGATTATGATATTAAACTATAAAGCCACTATTGAGGTCAATATTTTAGCAGAAGCACATTATATGATTTTAATTTTCTTGTCAGCTATATTTATGCTTGCATATGTACATAAATATGTACGTACGTGAAAACATTAATGCGCTTATCTGCAACGAATTGTGTTTTCCCCTATTCTGTATGTACATACTTGATTGATTACGATCACATTTAAATTATACACCAGCACACCTGCATTAAAGAAGAAATAATGCGCCTTCATCGGCAGCAGCTCCTTGTTGATTTTCGGTGCCATATTATATCGATTGCCGTATATTTCACAACGTGGTTAGCAAGCTACTAATAACGTCTATCCAATGAACACGCCTCCAAAGCCCCACACGAGTGTATCTGTAACAGTAGAAAGATATATTTTAATCTTAATTGTTTAATATTATCATTTTATCTATGTTATAGATATGTATGTACAAACCTTTGATAACGTTGTAGACGTTCTAATGTTAATAGTTGTGATTACATTTAATTCGTATTGTTTTAAATTACTAATTACTCCTATGGTCCTGTTGACTTAACTATGACGGATTAAGCGCGTGTAAAAGTCAATGCACTCTTGTGTTTTTTTACAAATGAACTAAAATAATAGCTGAGCGCTATTACTGAAAAGTATTTTTTACTTGTTTTTGTAAAATTGTAATTCGAGTTCATATAAGTATTTGCTTAGGCACGCTCTTTTCGGGTAGTATAAAATATTTATTTACATGTATGCTTGTGTGCCTCATTTCCTATTTAAAAAAAAATATATATATATATTGAGTGGGTTAAATTATTATTCTGCATTTGAAGCGTTAGACAAATGCACTTTGCACTTGTTCATAATTCGTTATAATTACTATAGCAATAATCAACGGTTGCCTAACTACTGCCTATACAAATACTCTAACTAGGTATACAATTTTGTAATAAAATTAATTATAGTAAAAAAAAAACATTTAAAATAAAAAAAAAAAATTTAACTTTATTAATAAATCCCTGTCATTTCTGCTTGACACTTTTCTAAAGCGTTAAATTTTTCTGTTAAAATTAAACCCACTTCATCGTACACTTGTTTTTAATTGCACAATTTTCACACATGGCGTTTGCCGCATTTCCTTCCACTTGTTCGAATGCCCATGGCCCCAACAACATGCCACTTCCTACCCCTACTTACATTTCCTTCATTCAGATTACACTCGCTGTTGTTGTTGCTTGCCTTTTCCTCGTGCACCATATACTAGTAAGACTACGAAATTACTATTATCAGATAAAATTTTGCCCGCACACAAAAATCTTATGCATTTGTCCGAGTTTATTAGTTTATTACTTATTCTCTCGATTTCACGAAATGCAATAACTGGCAATAAGGCAATCTAGTAATTAAAAAATGCTGAAATGTCAGAAATGATGGAAATGTCATCCAATCAGATGCTCGATGTTGCTAGAGCATATGTTGTGTAATATAGAGCGGAGAGCAACGGACAGTATGTTGCAAGGTGTATTCAACACGAAATAAACAGAGTAGGCATCTAAAAAAGCTACAAAGGGGTTGCTACAATAACAGTGAAATACATTTTCGCATTCGAAATGTAATATACAATCAAGGAATTGCATTTATTTTTACACTTACCTTTTGGTAAATGGTTTTATTGCGTTTTTATTAATAAAAATGTATAATTTCTATGTCATTATCAATTTTTAATTGATTTGCAATGTTTCAATACCAATATTATAAACCGAAATGCTACGAACTTCAACAGCGAATTCAAACAAAATTAAATAAATTGCAGTATAATTGAAATAAGATTGAACTAGTAAAAAATATAATTCAAAATTTACAGCACATGTTTATGCCACTCTCAACCATTGCTTTAATCATATATATGGCTATAATGGGTTTGATAAACGTGTATATAGTTTTCTTTCTCCTGCTGTGTCATCTGAGCGATAAGTTCGTCATTAATTTGATCAATAGGATGGGGTCTTCCGGCTACATGCACAGTAGGAGCATCATCGTCATCATCTTCTGATTCAGAATTAATATAGTTGTTGAAATCAACATTGGCTATGCGAAAAAAAAAACATAAATAATGTTATTGCAATAAATCTTTTTAAGTAATTTTTTTTACTCACGTATTTTCGTATTGTCGATATCCTTATCGTCGTCACTTGAATCGCTTGAATCTGCATTTGACGAACCATATTTCAGTGCTTTTGTTTGTGCATCCTTCTGATTGGTTTGCTTTTCATGCTGCAGCAGTACCGACATAATATCTTCATTTTCCTTTTTGCTGCGATTATTTGTTGGGCCGCCTACACTTATTGACGATTGTGTTGATGATTGCGCCGCTTCATTTAAAATGGCATCGGTGGCATCATGATTGTCCTCCGTTATAACGGTACTTTCGGTCATCCAGACTGGACGTGCTTTACGTTCGGTGGCAGTCTCTTGTATTTCACCGCCAATGCTAACATCAACACGAGCCTCTTCAACTGCAAAACCTTGATTACGTGTCGCCTCACCAGACCATTGTTGACCATCTAGCCGTTGCGCTTGTGGTTTGTTAATGCTAAATGTGGGAATATTTGCTAAACACATTTTAATTAAGGAAATATATGTATAAACTTACCCTCGTATCGTATCGATATCCACAGGTTCAGGTTCCAGTATTTCTGGCGCCAGCTTAATGCCTTCAACTTCGCGTAATAAATCGTATAACGGTTGTAGTTGCTCGTTAAATCGTGCCAACATTAAGCGTGAATCTTTTTTTGGCATCGCAGAACTATCCTCTTCCACAGGACTACCGCAGTAGGTACAACGAAATTCGCCGGTGTTAAAATCGAATAATTGATCGGCTTCGAGATCTGTGAATGTCTTATCGCAGTTTGTGCACTTGAAGCTGGCGCGACTCGTTGCGTCACGCTCCTCCGTCTCCATACGCTTACGCATAAGATCCAATTTATATTTAACAACATTTACAAAAGTCTTATAATTAATGAAGTAGTAGTTGACCTTCTGCGCTTTGCCATCAGGTCCTGTTTCCATTTTCAAACGTATCTGTATGAATTTGTCATTTCGTAACGTCGATATACGCGCACGCATTTGCTTCTTTTCGAAACGTAATAGCTCTGCAATGTCATCCTCTTTCATACAAGGATTACGCACCAACATATCAATTATGAGAGCATCTTCAATGGAATAAAAGCCGCGCACGACGAGACGGGCCAATTGCTTGAGACTACTTGGTACTTCGGTAACATATTTGGTCTCCTTGGTATTAGACATACTTTGGGAGGGATACGATTTAAATGCTTGGGGTACGAACTGAAATATTTTTAAAGAGAATAAAATTTAAAAAAATGCTTAATATATACATTTTTGTAATGTTTACATAGAAAGAGTATCAAAGTTAATTTTTTTGCAAACATTATTCATCAGGTGGTAGCAATCACCCTTCGAACCCCCATTTAAGTTGCACTGTCGTTTCAAACAAGTTTTACCGCGTCTGCGCATCGAAATTCACCCACAAACGATACATGTTGCTGCAACAATTGTTAGACACAACAACAGCATAGTGTATTTCCCACCGCTCAGCAACATACCAGGGAGGTGGAATCCGAACAAAATTTCAGTTCTGTGACGCGCGCATTCGGGTGAAAACAAAGAAAATTCGTGAAACTTACCTCGCTCGTCGATGTTCCAAATTGATGGAGTGATTTTTTCGCCTTTAAAATTATCACGTTTTCTGCACGATTTATTACTGAATTTCATAAAATCGTCATGGCGCAGTATAAGGGGCCTTTTTTGGTGATAAACTTATTTGGATCGGTGGATTGAAAGTTGTGTAAAATTTAATTGAAACCAGAACACGAAACGAAAATACGCTGTCGCCGTCGCCGATGACAGGGTGTTGCAAGGGCATGGTGCTGTCAAATGAGCAGTGCTGATACACTACCACTTATGTACGCGTGTGTTTTGACATTTGGCTGTGTTCATGGCGATATACTGGCTGATTTGTGTACAGGGTTACGCAAACGCAAATTTTTAGCTGTGCAGAGATTTGACTTATGATTTTGATTGGGTAAGTAGATTTTTTTTTGTAAATGAATACAAAATTAATAAAAACATTTTTATATACTTTTCAGTCTATCATTTTCTTTACAGATGTACTCTGAGCCACAGGTATATTTTGGAATGAAAGCTTGAAGACTGTATTTGCATATCCCGGTGGAAATCTGACCACATATTTGTAAAGCGACTTGCAACAATAAATAAAAGAAAAAATTGTATAAAAAAAAAAAACAAATAAAAAAGTACATATTTATGTAAAAAACTGCATTTTAAAATTCTCAATTAAAAAAGTACGATTTTTAATGGTAATGTACAAAAATATAAACGTATCCTAAATGTATAGACTTAAGTATGTATGTATATATGGCAATAAGTTAGTTTGCAAAAGTAAATATGGACTGACGTCAGCAATGCTTTCAAAGAGCCATTTCGACATACTTCACTGACAACTCAAAACTCTTTCTCAGTTAACAAAAATAAACATGCAAAAACAACAATACACAGCACACCCAAATAATACTTCTAAAGCAAAGGCCAATAATTTACTCAACAGGGGAAAACAAAACTTTATTAAATAACAAGCAAGTAGGCGGAAAGCAGAAACACTCCCGAAAGTATTCGAAGAAGTTTGCGCAGTATAAACAATAGTAGCCTAAGTTGAGTTGAGTAATGTAATTCCAACAAATCTGAGTAATATGAAAGCAACAGACTGTTATAACAATGAAAAATAACTGCACTGCATGTAAAATCAAATCAAATTCCTAGACCGAAGGTACTTATACACAAGCTAACATGATTATATTGCATACGTCAAGGCGCAAGGCGGAATGCAGCAATATAATGAGCAAAAATATAATACTTTACAAGAGCTTTGATGCAAGGCACAAACGAAATTACATATACACGCATACACATGCACTTAAATATCCATATGCATATGAAAACAAAATGCATACACATGCCGTATAACCTCTTACTTTGTCTATATATATAAAAATATTTCACTCATGCTCGCTTGAGTAAATAATAAATGGGCCAGACGTGGGCGTCAATGAGTCTGGGTTGCATTAATAAGGCGAACTGTAGAAAGGAAAAGGAAAATAGGAAATACAACAAAATAAAGCTTTCAAGATAGTGTGTGTATGTGTCTGGGTGTAGGTGTGGGTGTGCTGAGCAGGCGCGAAAAGGTGGTGTTAGAGTTAGATGTTGTTATTCTTTGTTACATTTCTGTTTCAAGATGTTGGACTGCATGTTTTGTAGCAGAAAATTCTCTTAGGAAATGGGTGAGTATTTACAAGCCCCAATGTGGCGATTAAACTCATACATACACCTATGCATGTTTGCATTGTTGGTATGCTTAGCAAAGAGAAAAATACATTCGTATGCCATCAGACGGACATGGGCTGTGGACGAGTGTTTTTGAAACTTCAAAAATAGGTGTATATTTATTTACATATGTACCTGTATACATATATGTACATACATACATATACTAAGTAATTTTACACATCGGGCTTGTGAGTTGTGAGTAAAAAGAAATAGGCAGTTGTTTCACCCTTTAGGGTTGAGGGGTAAAATATGGTGGTGTTGACGTTTTTGAAAATATTTGCTTTTGGTAAATATATATATGTAAAAGGGTAAAAATAAAAGTATACATTTTTTTAAATCCATTTTTTTCATATGTGTATGTATATGTTTTTATAAATTTTTTTATTTTGTTTTTTTGTTTGTGTTTTCTTATTTACTTATATTTTAATTTATTTAAGAATTTTTTTATTTAAATATCAAATATCCTTTTCTTGTTTTTTATTTATTTTTTCTTTATAATATATATATTTTTAAATATTTATTTTACTTTTATTTTTTTATATTTGTTTTTTATTTATTTGTTTTTTAGTTTGGCTTAATTATTTCTTTAACTATTACACTTTATTAACTTTATATTTAAGTACCAAATATTTTTCTTGCTTTTTATTTCTTCTAATATTTTTTTTAATTTAATTTTTTTTGTATATAGTGCGTTTTTTAAATTTTGCTTAGTTCTAACAGCATTATTGTATGTTTTTGTTAACGTTTTGTTTTGAACTAAATTTTAGTTTTAACTTTTTCTACTTATTTAATATTTTCATAAAAAAAATTTTCATAACTAATAATTTTTATTCTTGTTGTATTATTATTGTATTTTTCCTTTTTATTTAGAAAAGATAAGATAAATTTTTAATCTAATTTAGTTATATATGTATGTATGTATTGTATATGAATATTATATTATTATATTTATTTATATTTGATTTTACTTTTGTTTCTTCTTTCATGTTTTTTATTCTTTTATCATTATTGTTCTTAAGATATTTTTATTTACTTAATTTTTATTTTTGTTTTCTTTATATTTTTATTTTTGTTTCAATATGTTTTTTATTTATTTCGAATTGTTTGGTACATAATTTGTTCACATTTTTTTGTTATTTTTTTCATCCAAAAATGTTAATTTTTTCTTGCTTTTATTTTTATTAATTTAATTAGAAGTTTGCAACATAACTTTTTCAACATTTTTAAACCCCAAAAATCTTCAGAAATTTTTATTTTGGCATATAAAATGTCATTTCCCGTAAACACTTTTCAAATTCAATGATTTCCACCAGTGACATAATAAAATCTCCCCACAATTTCTCTTTAAAAAAGTCTGCGCAAGTGTTCTTTGTACCAACATGAGTATTTTTCGCAAAAAATATGTTTTTGACATTTGTACATATGTATGTACATATGTATGCATCTCTCTGTGCTTGCACATATTTTGTAAAATCACCATACACACACAAATATATACACAACCAAAACTCCCTTTCCACATCCGCATAGCTAGCGCAATACTCGCAGGGTTGCTTTTGCACAAAATCAAATACACCTGTGTAGTAGGTATGGTGAAGTGTCATTACGGGTGAGGGGATGCGCCATTAATACGCATACGCGTTAAATTTGAAAATAACAACAAATGCAATGCGCATGTGCTGCAAAAGTTTTATTTTATTTTCTTCTGTTTTTCCTGCAGTCACTTTCTCTTCGGTCTCGCCACTCTTTCGAACATTTCACCTCGATTTCTTACATACATACATACATACATACAGACGTAGGTATATCTATCACTCGTATTTCGAAATTGTGCCTTTCACGCCAACAAAGAATATTTTGAATGCAGTTTCAAGTCGTGCGCCAAGACATTCGGAGTAATTTATTTGTCAGTTCTCTAAATGACTGAAAGTGACCAAAAATATAAGTAATTAAAAAATAAATACAGCTATAAAAACCTGTGCGAGAGAAAGTGCAAATAATTGACAGCACAATAACGGCTTGTTGACAGCCATTGTGGTGGACAAAGCGGAAAACGGAAATTATTAGCGCAGCAAACGGCGCTGCTGTCAAATTTGACGGCTGACTTTGCAATTGGATTTGATGTTGAATTGTGCGTGTTTGGTACGCGAGTGTAAAATAAATTTTAACTGGACAACAACAAAAAAAGTAGACGCCCTTAAGGAAAATTCTATTTGTTGCAAGTTTACTTAGTGTATGGCTTTGTGTTGTGTGTAGCTAGAAAAGCCCAGCTATTGTGTTTTGGGGTGGAAAGCCAGTTTGAGTTTGATATGTGTGAAATGTGAAGAGCAGGAAGACAGCGCGCTGTGTGAAGTAGTGTTAGCAGCAGCAGCCAAAACGTCTGTCAGTTATTTAAAAATTGATTTTTATTATAAACGTTGGCGTTTTTCTTTTCGCTTCTATGTTTAGTGGCCGGTGTGAATAACAGTAAACAGCAGGCGTCTGTGGGAAATTATTGTGTTTAAGTGTGAACAAATTTTGGTAAAATTTTCGTTGTGTTTGTTGCGACTACGTCAGCAAGTGTCGACGCTGCGGCGACATCAACTACGCCAACGTATATGTAACGAAACGGTGTTGTACTTAAAGTATGTACGAGTATGTGGGAAAACTACCATTTTTTAGTGTTGAAACTTAAACTTCATTTATAATTGAAATTTTATATGGTTCTGGTTTCTAGGTTTACACAAAGTCGCTTATCTTTAAAGTGAGAAAATAAGTTTGAAAGAATAATTAATAAATTAAAAACATTTTCGTAATTTATTTGCCATAGAAATTTTCTTTCTATGATTTATATAGATCAGACCACAAATAAACTAATTAATATGACATTTTTAAATGAAACACACTAAGCGAATTAATGTTGCTGAGGAAAAGATAATTAAAAACAATAGTAATTAAAAAATCATATTTGTAACAAAACCAGCGATACTAATAGTAACAATAGAGAAAACAATAATAATTATAATGGTCGTTATAGTAGTAATAAAAATAGAAGAAAATAATAATAATAAAAGAAAAAGTAATAATAATAATGATAATAATAATAATAATAATAATAAAAATAATAATAATAACAATAATAATAATAATAATAATAATAATAATAATAATAATAATAATAATAATAATACAAATAATAATAGTAATAAAAATAAATATAACAGTAATTTTTTTTACGCATAGTGTACTTGAGACACTCTACAAATTTAAATAACGGAAATCGATTTATTTATTTAAAAATGCACTATTTGACAGGCAATCTGAAATGTTTTGAAAAGTGAATCTATACAAATTTACGCGTGGTCCTGAGCAATAATTATAGCAATTATTATACTAACAAAAAACATTAAAAATATTTCTGTTTAGTTTAAAAAAAAAAAAAAAAAATTATGCTGAAAATTCATATTTATTTTTGAATAAAAGCATAATGACCATTCCTTCAATTTTTGTTATTATGAAAATATCACAATCGAAAAATAATATATAAATTCTGCGAACCACATGCCCTTGCCGCTGCCTACTTATTGCATATAAAAATTTCCTAAACCTATTAAATTTTCAAATTATGTGCCTTACCATAAAATAATTAACAAACTGTCAAAGTAATAAAAAATAAAAAAATAAATAAATAAATAACGAATTACACGTGATTTATGTTCTGTTATTTTCATCTACGTATATATGTATGTATGTGTAGCCGCAACCAGAACAGTGACAGCAATGGCTGTCATCGTATGCCACCAATACTATGCATATGTACAATTTATTTTATTTTTATCCAGCAACCCCATTGTCGTTTGTGAATGCAAACAAGCCCGTACATACATATATATGCATGTACATATGTATATATTTTTCTTACACATGTAAGAGTATTTTCATTCCAACACATATGCATATACATATGTGCAAAATTTATATGTGAATGTATTTATTTCTTCTCCTCCACATTTCTTTGAAGAGGTCATGATGTCATGCACCAATACACATATGTACATATGTATGTCTCAGCAGCAAAGGTGCGAGTGTGGCATGGAGAAAAACATAGTTAATTTGAACTTTTGCAATAGTTAAATCGTACATTGGCCAAGTTTTAGCTGTTGTTTTTTACCTTCGAAATAGCATATGAAAGAAATCTGGTAGATAATGTGTTGAGTTAGGTTAGATATGAACTGACTGAGATTGTTTAAAATTTCCAAATGTCGTTTGTTGCTGAAAGTTGTTTAGAGTTTCTTGAAGATTCTTCAAATTTCCGATTGAAAATACTGTTAAGGCAGTAGTCTCCTTTGGAACCAAAAAACGGGTGTTTTCGTAAATTTTTTTGAAAGAGAAAATAAATTATTGCGTCAAACGAAATTTTCAGACAATATTGTACTATATTTAAGATTTTAAAAACAGTTTTTGGTATAAAAAAAATATTGGAACTTTCTAAAGTTGTGCTGAGTTTTCTGAAGCGGCTGTAATCTGAACTCGTGAAACGGAGGTCGTGCGTCTGAAATAGTCTAATTAAAAATTTTTTAAATTTTTATATCTCTTCTATATGAACTAAAAAATACCAAAGAAGTTGGAAAATTCCAATTTTTTTTAAATTAAAAAAAAAATTCACATTTTTGAGAAGAAAATTTATTTCAAGTAGCAAAAAAAAATAATTTGAATAATACTGTCCAACTTTTTTTAGTTCAAATAGAAGATAATAGAATACTGGAGCTTTAATTTCTTTCGATATTCTTTTTGTTATCACCGGCATCGTTTTTTAAGACTTGAAAAAATGAAACTTCAAAACAAAAACTTTCCGTCGAACATTCGAACTTACTCGATGCTCGGCCACTAAAACTGCTCTAGCTCATAACATATGAAATTTTGAAGACATATTTTTGGATAGTTTTAGAATAGATATAAGAAAAAAATGCATTTCTTGAAGCCTCTAAAGCAGACTGCAGCCCTAAATGCGTTAAGCACCGCATCTACTTATGAATGCTCAATATATTCTGTATGAAGTGTGGTTTTTTGGCAAGGCTAACATAGAAGGTTTGGTATCCCAGGACTATGGAAGGCCAAAAATATTGTCTGGAGCTTCTTATAAAACAATGATTAACAACTATTTGCAATGAAGAATGTAGCCCTACGTAGCTTGATAGATCTTATCGTTGTAATTGCCAGAATATTTTCCAAAGACCGGACTCTTGTGAGAATTGTAAGATTTTTTTTGTTTCTTACAATAGCCGGATCGACGCTGAACATTATAAACGTCGTCAAATACTATTTTGAGTATTCATCAATTTTTCTCAGCTAGTTAACGACGCTGCTCTATCACGGTACCCTCTTAGTCAAGCACACTTAAGCCTGCTGGCCCGTGGTGATAGCTATGGTAGGCCTAGGAGAAGACGCCTCTCTCTAACCATTCTACATGTTCGAATCATTTAGTGCGTTTTATAAAACACACGAGATTGAAACAAGTTCTGCAAGGCCATCGAGAATTCTTAGAGACAATTACTTCGAGGTCAAGACTTTTTGATATTACACAGTGCTTTTTAACGGTTAAGGCAAAATTTATGAAAGTTTTCAAATACTGGAGATTTCAGCTCATGTTTTGTGAGAGAAAGGGTTTAGATTTATGGACTTTTGCGTATTTTCAATATAGTTCAGCGAATTAAGAAACAGCGACTGTGCCACTTCAGCAATCGGTAGGCCGATTTATTCTAATTGCTATGACTCCTCAGCTAGATATGAAATCAGACGTTTAAAGATGGCTTGAAATTACAGAAAAATCGTTGGAAAAACATTATACTCTCTTACCAGACGGTCCATTCTTTATGCCCGGTAGCTTAAGGTATACGCAGGAGCACTTTTTTTTGTCCATTGTACAGAAATGGTATATTAACTTTGATCTGAAGTATGCATGTACAATAAATACCCTAAGGAGCAGAGCTAGACCCATTAGAATTTATACCGATTAGTACAGAATGACGAATACAGTTGATTTAGCCATGCCCGTCTGTGTTCAGTTTTTAAGAAATTTCAACCATACTTGGTACACAAATACACTGTTACATTGAGACGATCATTTATCGGAAGCGGCTAAATCGGATCACTTTTAAAAATAGACTCGTATATACAACCTTCTTTCAGATTTAAGATTTTGGGTTATATTGTATATCTGTTAAGAATTACTTAACAGAAGTGAAAAATAACGAAATCGCTCTACTAAAACGTATAGCTCCCATACAACCGATTTTTTCAGATAAGAAGTTTTGTGTGAAAAATCTGTAAAAAGAGCACCTCAAAACATGTTATTTGGTATTGTACATTCATAGCTACAAATAAACATTATCCATGAAAATCATCGATTATATCATAAAGCTCCAGTACAACAAATTCTTTAGATATGTGAAAATAATAATTAATCCCAAAATGAAATAAATTTAATATGTTCATGAAAGGTATACAGATTTCGACGTGACCGAAGACAGCTCTTCTTCTTATATGTAAGGATGACAGAAATTTTTATTAAAAATCTATGTTAACCAGATAGTCCAGCTTAATCCAATTTAAAAGAGGATTTGTCATTTAAATCGAAATTTATCTCATAAATTATTCATGGCGAATTTTACGTTTAAATTCAACTATTTTTAGAAAGCAACGATTATTTTTTTCTTCTGTTCTTTATAATAATAACAACACGATACATATGTAAGGCATATGTACACATATTAAATAATACATACATATATATGCATATATCTATATACACGTACATATTTCAACCAGCTGCTCCCGCCATCGTATACGTGTATGTACAGCACTCTAGTCGGCTTTTGTTGCTTTTGTATTGTAACTGTCACTTTATGGCGCTGTGTGTCATACCATATTCCGCCTTATTGTTTGAAATATCGATTTTCCTGCACTGTCTACAACGGAGTTAACCGAGCCATCACCAATACACAAGCATTTAGCCGCAGTGCTTGTCTATTGGTTTTCGATATGAAATTTTATGCAAATGTAGTTGTATGCATATACATATGCCCGCATGTGTATATGTAGATATGTAACGACTGGGATATGCTTTGATAATTCGTACTCTATTCCTTTGATGTGGCGGCTTTTCGTGAAACAAAGAAAAAAATGAAAAAAAATGAAATAAAAAATAAAAATGAAAAAAAAACGGCTCTGGCTTTGGCATAAATCTTCTGCTTTCGATTTTCACATATTCCTTTTACTAGCTTTGACGTTGCTGCTCACTTCAATTTATGTTCTTCTACTTTACGTTTTAATGCTTATTTACATTGTTTTCCTCCTTTATGGTTGGTGCGAAACTATTTTGTTACTTCGCTTGGCTTTACTTATATGAAGATTTTTGCTTTGGCTCAGAGCTATGCCTATTAAATATATCCTTTAGCCGGCAGCTAAGTTTTGTGGATGTGTGTGTTTATCTATGTGTGCGCCTGTTATAAAATCTCATTTGGATTTTTTCTTCTATTTATCATTCTGTTATGTGCTTTAATTTTATTATTGTGCAATCACCCTTTTGCCCAGCTGTTTCGATTTTTCTCTGTGCTGAGATATTGTAATAAAGCTTGTACATAAC